AAATAAAAATAAAATATTTTAAAAATAGAAATAATTAAAAATGCCCAAGGAGCAATTTACAGAAAACTACTAGTTTGGCAGTTTCCCAAAATTTATCTCTGATCAGTTTTTCTCCTAGGGCTGGGAATGGCACAGCCCAGGGAATAACAGGGAATAACAGCAGTATGTAATCAAAGAGCTAGGACAGGATGGGAATTGATCTCCTAGAGGTACACAGGTTCTCTGACCTACACACAAAAACTTTTCCATGTATGCACAAGAATGTACAAGAGCATATACATATATGAACACATATACACTTAATTAACTAATTCAAATCAGTTAAGACTCTAATTCCACTTGAGAAAATAAAGTTAAAAAAGATCAAGCCACCAAAAATCTCAAGGCATGTTCCATGGAGATCTTAACCTCCTAGCTTGCTCAGTCACCTTTTGGTTGAATGTGCCAGCAATTTGTTTCCTTCCAAACACTATTATTTCTTTAAGATAACGAAGAGCAAGAGCCAAATTGGCCAATGATTTCCCTCTTTCTCTTCATATGATAGCTTGTACAAGGGGAGAATTGATTAGATCAAAATAATTTTTCTATTGACATTTCTTTACTTCTATGCAAATGTCACAAACTTTCAAGAGCTGAGGTCAGATAAATCTAAAATTAATTAAGTTTACCTGACTGTTCACAACTTTCCTAGGTGAGTGGAAGGTGCATTGCTATAAATCTTGTAGATGACTAGGTCACTGCAGTTGAAATGTGTCCAGCTCAGAAATGATGTTACATAATTGCCCACTACCGAGCCTGTCCGAGTGGTATGCTTTGCCATGGACTTCCTTCCATCCACCATTCCCCTGCCTATAAAAATCCTCTTCCCTGCATTCTGTCCTGACAAATCAATGCCTTCTTCACTTCAATCTGAAAAGAAAGACCAGCATTCTCCAAAAGCGTTTTTTAGGTTAATCCCACCTGGCTCTATTCATTACTTAAACCTTTTGGGGTGTGAAATGAGCTCCAGTGCCTGGCTGCAGTATTTGCAGTTTGCATTATTATTCCTTTTACCTTTAGTGTATCCAAAGGCTTAAAACATCCCTACCTAAGCTTCTGCTGCAGGGAAGAATTCTTATCACAGCAAATACAGCTTGAGTAGGGAGACAAAAGAGAAGAAAACTAAGCAGGGCCAGAGAAAGGGATGGAAGCTTTAACACTATCCAAGTAGCCTGGGGATATCCTTTTTCTCTCCCTAGAACTCATTTATAGGTATATTTTAATACTCCATCTATGACCTAAAAAGTAATACTTCTCCCATGTATATGCCTCTTTTCTCACATAGAATTTTCCTAGTCAGGAGAGCCTTTTAAGGGTACATAAGCAATACAAATGGTAATAACAGTTTAGAGATAGGTTGCTAGGAGGCACTAATATGTCAACAAGGCAGTGCTATATGGTCTTTCTGTGTGATGTGTGATACTAAATTATAATCATTTTAGACAGCTATAGAGATGGAGTTATTAAAATCTGACAATCTGAAATTTTCATAATTTAGAAGTTTATAACTACTTGTAAATCTCCACAGATTGTCTCTCTAAAATATAGCATTCTCCTTGCACTGGAAAGGAATTGGGACAAGAAGAACTTTAGTTTCATGTTTGCGTCTCAGAACTTAGTATAACATTCTCTCTCTTAATTCAATTAAAGTATGCATGAGAGTTTGTTTTTCAAAAGTGGTGACTTAACATACAGTTGTTATTCTCTTGCTTTCCAAAAACGATTTCTATGTATTGTTTATTATTTCATTTCTTAAAAGTTTGTTGAAAACTATGACTGCTTTATAACCTGTTTACTGTAAATCTAAATGGAATAAATTGTGTTCAGTGACAAAGGGATGCATTTGAACAGTTAGGATTTGAAATGTAGGCAATTCTTACCAAATTAAGTTTTTAAAGGTTAAAACCTCATTTAATTTTATGTCTTATAGGGCTTATACTGAGTACAATATTATATAACTGTAATAATTCAACTGTAAACCTAAAAATGTACAGCCAATTTTTTAAGAGATGCAGCCTAGCTCAGAAAATTGTTATTGAATATGTCAATGCTGATGTAATGAAATACTTCTTCTAAGTATGTGGTTATTAAATAAATAATTTTACAAAATAATCAAAGAATAAAAATATCAGATACACAGAGATTAGAGATGCATGTGCAAACATTTATGTGTTAGTAGCATTAAAAATTAGTCTTTCTGTAGGAAATAGTGTATTTTAAAAGGAAATGGAAATCTTTTTAAAGGTTAAAAACCTCATTCATTTTTATGTCTTATAGGATTTATACTGATTTCAATATTGTATAACTGTATTAACTCAACTGTCAACCTAAAAATTTACAAGCATTTTTCAAAGAGATGTATCTTCACTCTGGAAATTGTTATCAAATATGTTAAAGCTGTAATGAAATGTGTCTTCTACTCATGGCTATTAAATAAATAATTTTTTAAAAAGAAAAAAATAAAAATAAAAAATCTAATATCTAATACTTATACATGGAAATATTTGTATGAATTGAAGAATCCTATCTACTACTCTTTTGTTGATGATATCAATATTAAACACAAAACTTAATCGTGTACTTTACAGATTTCATTTTGGAAAAGCACACTAATTTTATTCTAACAAACTGAAGACAGCATTATGGTACATTCCTGTAGTATTAGGAATCAAGAGACTGAAGCAGGATTATTTAAAGTCTAAGGCTACCTGGGCTACATAATTAGACCATGACCAACCTGCACTACATTGTAGGACCTTTTCAGTATATCTACACAGTTAAATGCAGTCTGGTTTCTTGTTCCAAATTTATGATAAAACATGTAGAAAAGATGAGAATATAAATAGTAAGTGTCTTTTTACCATGTGACTACATATCTGCAACTTCCTCTGGGGTGGCACAGATACCACCATAGAAAAGCATTTGATAATCCCAGGGCAGAACATTTGCCATTTACTGAATATCAGTTATTCTTAAAGGTCCTCTTCTAACCTTTCTTTCTTCTACAATACACATGTTAACATCATTAACCACCAGCCTCATCATGGTTCATGCCTATAGTAGATGTATAATACCATTCGTAAAAATTTAAAGTCCTTGGAGATCTGTGTGATACAACCTGTCTTCCGTGAATGTGTGAGTTTTTACTGTAAATATTTTATATTGGTTAACATTTCATAACATAGAATACCCCTGACCTTCTGCTCTTCTTGTTTTGTTTCCCAAGCCTTAGAAAATAGTGTGTGTGTATGTATGTATGTATGTATGTATGTATGTATATGGCTATTCTTGGGCTCACATGGGTAGATGGAATAGCTTAATCTCCAAAAATGACAATAACAAGACTGCTTTGGTAAATATATTTGGAATTTTATTGAAGAAATAGTAATGGCTTTGTGTTTTTGAGTTATTTTTATCTACATATCAAATTGAAAGTTCATGATGCCAGCTCTAGGACCATAGGTGGAGCCTCTGTGGTCTCAACTCCGTGTTCGGCTCATGGAAGGTACCCAATGAGTTTACTGAAGGCATCGGAAGAGTAGTTATATTCTACCCAGATTGTTTTTTGTTTGTTTTTCATTTCTATGATCATAAGAATTTGTGTGTTCTTTTCAAACCCCCTAAACACCAAAACAAGGTGGCATTGTTGGCTATAGTCAGTGAAAGACACTGAATCTCCTTCTGGAGAGGCAGCAGTGTGCCTTTCATGCTATTTCAAGAGATAGGCACCACAGCATCACCAGAGAACAAAGTAAGGATATATCCAAACCAAAGACCTGCTTTTACATGAAGATTAATATCTTGAAAAGTAAAAGAAAGGAGAGAAGATTGAAAATTGAAAGCTAAAATTCTCCAGCAAAGCTTAATGAAAGAATCGGGATAAGAAAATTTTTTACATAAGAATCAAAGTTGACTGTACAGATACCAAAGGTTTTTGCATACTGGATTCAATGACTTTGTCACCAGGAGGTGTCTTTTTACTTCTGTATTAGTGAGCTTTGGGTTTCTGTGATAAAATACCATGGCCAAGACAATTCATAGAAGAGTTTATTAGGGTATTGTTTGAGAAGGATGTGAGTCTATTATGCAGGGAAGGCATGGCAGGAGATGCCCATGGCAGGAGCAGGAATCAGAGAGAAGAAAAGGAAATGAAGCAGAACTAGGAACTATCAAAGTCTGCCTCCTGTGTCGTACTCCCCCCCCCAGCAAGACCACACCTCCTGAAAGTTCCATGACCTTCCGAAATAGCACAATCAACTGACAGAGTATTCAGATATTTAGAGCCTATGGGGTACAGTACTCATTGAAACTGCTACAGACACCCTGTGGCACCTGAAGCTCCAGGACACACAGTCCGTCTCCTCCAGCAATCCTATTGCTCCTTCTTTGGAATTAAGGTTGGGTAGAGTTTGAACTGAATGAGTATCAGGAATAAAACAGCATTTGGAAAGATAAACACTGAAGATCTTATTTCTCTGTATAGTTATTAAGTGATAAGAATCCTTTTTGAAAGATGAGTTACACTCATTGAGAGAAAGGCCTAAATTATGATGTATTATGATCCATTTTTATTTTATTCAAATTTTATATTATTGGATTCATTGAACTATTGATTCTTGTTGAATATCACAGAAAATTCAATGGAAAATATGTTGGATCCTGAAATGACACGTGTAATGATCTTTGAAAACAATATGTGAATGTTCAAATAAGGACTAAAGGCATTGCACATAAGTGAAGGCTACATTCATGTCATTAATTCTTGTAACTAATTCATGTAACTAATTTTTCTAGTAGTCCGTGCTAACAAAACTTTTGAAGCCTGGTATTAAAGTGTTTATTTGTTTCTGTGGAATCAATTATTTCAGAGTACCTAGCATGAAAAAGCTAAAAGAATAACATGGGATTTTTACTGTTGGTATTTTTTTGTTTTGTTTTCATGTCTTTACTTCCTCCCCTAGGAGTGCGAACTCATCGATGCCAATATTTTCTACTGAAGCTGGACCATTTGTAAAATTAAACACAGCACCTAATGGAAGTTTAATACTAACACCCAGGTGGGTCCTAAAATGCAGTTTCAAAGTTGGTGTACAAGGAGGGACTAGTAGATGGAAGTATTTGAGGCTGGCCATGTATCGCTGGTATCACACACTGGCCTTATACTTTTAAAAGTTATTTGAATCTTTCATTCTTTCAGTTCTATCAAGCAGTGTCTAACTGATCCTTCCTGATAGAATTATCTGACCCTCATATATATAGTAAGACAATGTAATGATATATAAGTAATTGTCTCACATAATGATGAAGATTAATATGGTCCAATACAATACTGTATTCTAGTTTCTTTGGTTAGACTTAAAAGCCCTAAGCCTCAGAGGAAGAACTTGTGAGGGCTAGAATAAGTAGTTTCAATGCTACTCAGACTGAAGAAAATCAACTTAGCCACCATCAATGAGGAAGAATTAGATGGTAGCCACAGTACTTGATTGTCCTTCTTAGCAAAGGCTGTAGGTAAGAGAAAATGACTGCAAGAAGTCAAAACTCAACGCTAGGATTTCAGATCCCATTACTAGTGTATTTTGTTTAACTTACTTGATGTTGAAAATAACATTATGTAACTCAGTTATTTGTGAAACATTACCTCTTCTGTGAGTTCAACCAGTGAGACAAATTGATAAGGAGTATTTTTAGTAACAATAAAAGGATGTTGTGGTCCTGTGTTTTATATCAGCGTTGACACATTATGAGTGCAGCAGCAGATGGAACAGTCATTAGCAAGTTTTCAAACAGTTTTTCCAACTTCCTTTTCATAATGCATTCTTAAACTTATGGTGATTCTCTATATTGAGAAGTCCACCTATTTATGTTTCATGGATATCTATGAATCAGTAATTAGAAAAAGCAAAGAGAGGTTGGAGAGATGGCTCAGTGGTTAAGAACACTGGTTGTTCTTGCAGAAGACCTGGGTTCATATTCCAACACCCACAACTGTACGTAACTCCAGTCCCAGGGGATCCGACAGCCTCTTCTGACCTCCGCAGGCATTACACTACACAGTGAATTTACCTACATGCAAGCAATACACGCATACACATAAAAAAAATAATAATAAATAAAAAGCAAAGAAAAATCAAAAGCCATTCAAACTACATATATGAATATTTCAAAATACCTTAGTATTGCATTCTTATGAAAAATGCCAGTATAATGAACAATGATGTTGCTGTTGTGCTTATGTTCATGCTGATTGAAAAAAGACATTTTATATATATATATATATATATGTGTGTGTGTGTGTGTGTGTGTGTGTGTGTGTATTAACATTTCTGTACACCAAAACACTAATTAGCTAAATGTCCATAAACTTTTCCTTAATTATCTCCTTTATATTGGCAAAATTCAGACATGTTCATTTATTTCTTCCTTTGGTTAATTAATTTCTATATTTATTTATTTGTTGTATGACTATTATCCAATATCACATAAAAACTGGTGATTTGAGAATAACCATGTTCCAGAAGTTGCAATAAAAATAAGCAAGAATATATTTGAGAAAAGTTTAATTTTATGACTGAATTGATATTCTATTATTAATTATATCTGTGCTTGATAAAAATTAATTATGCAATGCTCAGTCTTTCAAATACAAAAAACAATGCTTAAGAAGACATTTGGAATATGGATTTTCATTGAGCACTGTAGGTGTGGACAGTGCTGCTGTGAGACTTGAAACTATTTTGGAAAGCATCCTAGATTGGTTTCTCTTAGAGGTAGACATTAAAAAAGAAATTTATTTAGACTACTTTGAAGCATTATAGATACATATTAGTATATTGCCATGTTGATTATTAGCAAAGTATATTTTATTATATTTCTATTGAAATTGGCTTCTATTTTAAAGACAATTTCAATAATATAAGGTGAGTATATGTAATTTCAAATAAGGTTTATCATGCATGTTCCAGAAACATTAAGTGGTTTTGATTGCTCATACAGTATTGCTTTATGGTTTTGTTTGTTTGTTTGTTTTATTTGTCCCCAAAGTAAAAGCACCTAAACAATGTACACAATTTGATATAGGTAAGTATATAAGAGTAAAACATGATTAATCTGTGTATATGTGTACGCATGGTTCCATGTGTCATGTTTCTGCAGTAGCAGCCTTAGGAAATAGTGTAGCCAAGTGTTGTTATTCCTGATTTTACATTGACCTCTAGTGGTTAGATTGTATACTACTTTATAAAACAACTTTTTAAAAAACTTTTACAAAAACTTTATTGAGAATTTCATACATGCATATAAGGTGTTTTGATCAAATCCATGCTTACTCCCTCCCCTCCAACATTCCCCCCTCTGAAGAGGTAACCCTAAAATCTATTTTTCTTCATTTAAATTTTTGGCTTTTGAAAAAAGTCCACTAAAATAAAAAGCAAGAAAAAGATGTCCAATTTCTCCATTTTGGTTCACTATTGTGCTTGAGTTTTAACTAGAGCAATAAAACAGGTGAAGGAGATAAACAGGGTATAAATTGGAAAGGAAGAAGTGAAAGTATCCTTATTTGCAGATGCTATGAGTATATACAGGAAGGATCCTAAAGATTCCACCAGAAAATTCCTACAGTTGATCAACACATTCAGCAAGGAGCAGAATACAAAATTAACACTCAAAAATTGGTGGCTTTCCCATCCACCAACAACAGACGCACTGAGAAAAACAAAACAGGGAATTGATCCCATTCATGATAGCCTAAAAAATATCTTGGAATAAATCTAACTAAAGAAGTACAATTAAAAAAGAATTAAGACATGAAGACAGAAACTGAAGACACAGGAATATGGAAAGATCTCTTACATTCAAAATTATGATTCATTTTTAATAGTTCATGCCTACATTTTGTTTCATAGTTTCCATGTGTATGTCTGCCTCCCTTGAAAGCAGAACCTGTAATTTATCCATCATTTCCTTATGCAGTACACAGCCTCACAGGGATGGTTCAGAACTGAATAGCTGTGAGACTTGTAATGTTGAGGCATACTCTCATCAGTTATTTCTTGTCTACAGTTTTAATTTCTACAATTTCAACTACCCAGTGGTCAAACATAGTCCAAAAAATCAACTGGAACTTCCACAAATTTCATAATTTCCATAAAATTCCATAAAAAATTCAAAACTTTTTAATTATCTTCAACTGGAATAGCATTAACAATTCTCATTCAGTTCTGATCCCAAGTGAAGCAATCATCGGTGTGGCAGAAATGACCAAACTACATGCATTACCTTCCCACTAGTTCCTCAGAACTTGTTTCAGTTCTTGGAATTTCTTGCAGTATTTGGCACTTTTCTCCAAGTGAATCATATTTTACACAATAGTGATACTAAAAAAGTAGTGTATTTATGCAAGTAAAAGTTGTCTACCTGATAAGGAAAGAGTGCTCATATACTGAGATGGCTAAAATCTATGACCTGCAGTGAGAATCAGTCTTCTATTGATGAAACTGTAAAGGAGGAAACATAAATTTGTGCTATTTTCACTGTCATATCCTAAACTTCAAAGTGCAACTGCAATCAATGTGTGGTAAGTGTTTAGTTAAAATGAGAATTTAAACATAGGGTTCAGTGCTATCTTTGTTTTAGGAATAGAATAGAAGTCTTGAAACACATCACCTCAGAATGATAGCAAACTATTATATTAGAGAATGTTGAAATCTAAGGTTTGTGTGAGCAAAGTAGAAATATCTATCAGAAATCAAATATTAATCATATACAAAGCACAATACTCCTTCTAAAGTAAAATATTTGTTTTAATTTCCATAAAATTCTAGTATACTATGCTCTGTTATGCCCATATTGATTTGAGTGATTTATCCACAATTACATGAAGAGTAAGTCATTAGTAAGAATGCAAACAGATCTACTTAACTTTATTTTTGGGGGATTTACTTATTTTTTCTCTTTAGTTTGAGTGGTTTGCCTGCATGCGTGTAAGTGCATCTGTGGAGGCCACAAAAGGCATCCAATTCCCTGCAACTGAAGTCACAGACTGTTGTTAGCTGCCATGAGGGTACTGGGAACCAAACCCCAGTCCTCTGCAAGAGCAACCAGTGCTCTTAACAACTGAGCAATCACTCCAGCCCCTTAATTTAAGTTTAAAGTGGGTCATTTTTCCCTGTGGATTTCAGCTTTTCTAAATTTCATATATGATATTTAGATTAATCACTCCAGCCCCTTAATTTAAGTTTAAAGTGGGTCATTTTTTCCCTGTGGATTTCAGCTTTTCTAAATTTCATATATGATATTTAGATTTAAAAGTCTAACAAAAGTGGTAACAACAACATTGATTTACTTTAAATGTAACTGCACAGTTTTGAAATGTAATTCTTGTTCTGTTACAGTCAGCAGTGCTCACAGGATTCCTTAATTCTGTTACAGTGTAACCATAAGTGTAAGTATTTTCCAACAATTCAAGCCTTCACATTAAAATTTTATAATGAATTTTATGTCACCTGACTTATTTTATCATCATTCAGTTTTCATCCCCAAATGAAGTACCTGAAAATAAAATAGATATTCTTTCTTCTGTTATTTTTATAGCATGTGGAGAAAAAATGGTGCCTCAGGAAGTGAACCCAAAGATCATTGGAGGAAGTGATACACAAGCAGGGGCATGGCCTTGGGTGGTGGCTCTGTATTATGGAAATCGACTGCTCTGTGGAGCATCTCTAGTCAGCAGCAACTGGCTAGTGACTGCTGCACACTGTGTGTACGGGTGAGTATGAGCATAAAGGGCCTTTCTCAGTCCAGTTATTCATGAATCAAGGATCTCAGGTGCCAAACAATCACAGCCACCAAAGACTGACCTGGGACAGTGGCTTCAAGTTCTCTCTTTCATGTCAGTGAAGATTAAAGATGCATACTCTCATGTAAGTGGAGCATAATGCAAGCTTTATTAGGAGATATCAAGGAAAAGTTGGAAATTGAGGGAAAGTGAGAGACACTACTGAAAGCAGGGGAGATTCTAAGAGAGGAGAGATCCCTTGAACTTGTTTTTCTAGGGCCTTTTAAAGGACTATGGCAGAAACTGAACAAAGGCTGAGGCAATCGTTATGAGATTGGATTTCTGGGCTATCATGGGCTGAGCCAATGGAGGGATCACATGCTCTATGCGTGTCACACTGAACCAGTCAGGGAGGTGATCATGCACTGTTCACCCAGTTAGGGATGGTTGACTTCTGTCCATCTCTGTCTCCTGTTTTGTTAGATATGGACCTTGACTGTTTGCTAACTGTTATCCACTTGCCTGGCATTAATGTCCTCCTACATCACAGGTGCCTCACATGCTGTTAATTATACTAAGCTCTCTGTTCTTAGAGATACCAAATGTAGCTGTAGTTATTCTTCATTAATCTTAAATTTCTTGTTTATAGGATGGTCTGGGGTCATTTTCTTGAAATAGGTGGAGTATTTGTAAGAGACTATATGTTAAAATTAGCTGCATTAGAGAAAAGAATATGTAAAGAGCAGTAGTGCTCAGTGTTTCCTGTGGGATGGGATGGTGGTCTTGTGGAAACTAAGCTAGCTGACCTGCTGACACTGACCTTGTTTCTCAGTGTCTGTTTATCTTTTATCAGGCCACTTTGGCTATCTCATACCCAACTGCAAACTCTTTATGTCTCAACTCTAATGTTCTTGTGCTTGTTAATTTGACCCTAGCAGTCACTAACTCTAACATCTGCCCCCACTGTAATGTGTGAGCAACTTGTGTTTTACCTCTATGAGCCCTTTTCTCTTACTACCTTTAGAAAGCTAGACCCTCCCTCAATAATGTGTCTTTTAGCAAATAGGGTCACCTCAGCAGTCACAATTGAGTGTCTCATTCTGTACTGCCCCAGGCCCCACCAGAAAAATATTTCTACTATTGATGACATAAACTTTCCAATCATCACCCACAAAATCATATATAAAAATAACGTTCAATTAAAATGCCTTCTTCATTAGTTGATTACATCAACTATTATGTCTCATACATATAAACTTTTACAGTCTTATCTAATCTCAAGGTAAAGAGATAAGAGTGTAGAATTGGTGTTTATTGTACAAATTGTTTTTCTTTAATCATTCAGTTAGGTCAATATGTAATGTTAGCAAATCATTACTGCCAAAAACATTCACAGAGAGCATATAATTAGATATTGTACTCTAAAACCCCATGTTTTAAATACCTTGTATTGACTTAATTATTGTGTGAGACCTATATTAACTCTACATATACCTAAAAATTAGAACTGATTGTACATAAAATTTGTTTTTGTAACAAGATAGGGCAAAACTCATGTTTAGCTCTAGATTTATTTCTTCTCCATAAGTAATATTTCTAATGCAGTACTGCAGGAGGGAAGAGAGTCAATGGAAAGAGATGAAGGGAAAGGGAGAAAATAAATGATCCCATGCCCAGGAACGTAGTCCTATGCTTCCATATAAGGGAAGACAAGTCTTTAGTTTCCTACCAACAGTTCTCCATCACATCATAAGAAATAAATATAATGGGAATGTTTCTATTTCATGATAAATATTATTCTGCTTTTTAATACGTTCATTACTTTGAACAAATTACAAATGGGTAATATTGCATCTGTGTTGTAAATTTACAAAAAAAAAGGTTTATTTAAGGATTTAGTCTTTTCTGTTGCACATAGATATTAGTAAGTTAGCAATCTTGCTTTATTACCCTGTGAACTGTTAAACTCCTCTGTTAAATGTTCTTGCAGAACATATGCTTTCTAAATGCCAACCAGATCTGAAGCAGTATTATGGAAATCTTCAATTATATACCTTATGGTTGTATTTTTTATAGCCAGTAATGCCAATTTCAAACCTGTTCAAACAACAGTATATGAAGGAGCTAGAAAGAGTTCCATGTAATTAAGCACATGTTCAAACATACAGAGCACAAAGGTATTCATATAGTTTCTTTTTGAACACAAATGTATAAAGAGATGTATTAGAACTGTGTGAAATAAGAATTGTCCTTAAAACTTTACATTTGACTAACTTTAACTTTGATGATTTACTTTGCTGTTATAGTGAAAGCAGCAAAATTGGAGGTGGAGATATTCACTAGGCCGCAGTAAATGGGAGGAGAGGCCACTTAGAAGGTGAAGAATGAAGCTTCATAATCAGGTTGCTGTGTGGAGATGAGATTTCTGGGAAGAGCAAGAGTGAAATTTTAGTGCTCAGTTAGAAACTGATGATGGTGGCCATAGGATAATGGTTGAAAATGATGGACAATTTACTAATGAAAACAGGTATCACTGAGGAATGGAGAATAATTAAGAGTATTACAATGGGTAACTATGTGACTTTAACATCATTTACAAAACCGAAATGAGAAAAATAAAAATATTGGGAGCTAGAAAGTAAACAAGAATTCTGATTTTTATACATTATATTTTAACTTTCCTGTTGACATTGTTTAATTGGCATATGAACCTAAATTCTAGAGAAGAAATGCTTGATGTGTAGTACCACATTGTTGATTCTTAGAGATCTGGCGTTACTGGATAAGCTCATCTGTGGAGTAAATATAGACAGAGATAAAAGGACTAAGGCACTATCCTGAAGAATTATAGTATTTAGAGTTTGACAAGAAGAAAGAGAGCTGAGGAAAAAGAGAGAGAGAAAGAATAGAGTGAAATGAAAGGAAAATCGCAAGAAAGAACACGATCATTCTGAAAGCTATCTGAGGAAAGGTGTTCAAAGGTGATTCCTGGTGTTTCTGTGAATAACCAACAGCCATATAGTACTAGCAATTCTATAGCATTTTCCCAGTTCCTCTTACTTCTGTCTCTTGTATATCAACAATTCCCACGTGTGATGAAGCTCTTTCCTTACTCAGGAGAAGGAATAGAATCTGAGCGTATCCTCGTTATCCATCACCCTTCATAGCATTACCACCTCCCTCAGGTTTTTATTTTCTTCTTTTGCATTTATTGTGGATTCATTTCCTTTCTTCAACAACTTATTTTGGTGCTAGGGTAATCATGATATTTATTTTATGATGTTCAGATTGCTGCAACTTGGCCAATGTCATCCAATTTTATCTGACGTTTTTGTTCTTTCATAATTATTCTTGATAATTCTTGAAAGATTTCTTACTATTTGGAATCAAACATTTTTATTTGGCATCTTAATTTTTACTTGCCTTAAAATTATAATTGGTTATATGTCTAGAAGTCCTTATTCTATTCAGAAAAGAATATTAATAAAAGTAAAGCACACCTGTCTAAGAGAAAAGAGGAGTTTGGTTTATGGGCAAACATGCTAAAGCTGCTCTTGTCTAGTAATGATGAGGGAGAAAATTATAATTATAAAATCCTAATCATAGTTCCAATGATTTGGTTGTCTATTCAGAGTATCATGCTGCTCTTCTATAGCTATTTTGCTGTATTTTCTTCCGAAGTCATTGATACCCAGGACAGTGTAGTTATTTGAAAGCCAATACATAGCAACTGATTTGAGGGATAACATTTCACCCCACCTGGTGCAGCACCCATGTCTTAGGGAATGTGTTAGTCTTTAAGATTACCAAGGACTGGAGTGCATGCCTTTGTTCTGTCTCCCAATCTGCTTCTCTTTTCTTGATCATAAGGTAAGCATTTTGAACACACAGGGAAGATGGAGATGTAATGTGACAGAATGGTAGTCAAAGTCTCTACCTAAAGATGCCTTGTTTCTGCCATATTCAGGTAGCACCTGCAGGGTGCAGGTTTGTCTATCCATATGTCCATCTGTCTGCCTGTGTTTCCCTATGTCCACTTGCCTTACATCTTACAGGTCTTTCCTAATTTTGCCTTTCTTTCTTTGTTTCTGTCCTTCCTTCCTTCCTCTTTTATTTTCTTTTTTCTTCCTTTCTTTCTCTTTCAGACCTGGGGATCAAACCCAAGGCAAGTACTCTACCTGTGACCTCCATCCCCATCACAGGTCTTCCTACTTTGGATAGAATATATGTTCTTTGAAACAAACAAAATTTAAAGGCATAGTAACTCACTTCTCTTCAGCTGAAATATCTCTGAAGTTTTTCCTATATACATATTCTTTAAGACATGGTGATTAAAAACAATTAGTTCTCAAGATCTACTCCTACCTTTCCAGTAACAATCCTGAGGAAGGTACCTAGGAAACTGAATTTTAGAAAATGTTTCTATCTTCTGGAAAGTTCTGTGCTGAATGGAGAATTTATGATATATTTTATTGAAATTTTCAGGAGAAACTTAAATCCATCCAGGTGGACTGCTGTCCTGGGCCTGCATACAAGATTAAATCTGACGTCTCCTCAAGTAGTAAGTCGGGCGATTGATCAAATTGTCATTAACCCCCATTATGACAAACGGAGGAAGTTTAACGACATTGCCATGATGCGCCTTGTGTTTAAAGTGAATTATACAGGTAAGATGAACACAACTAGCCATCTCATCTTGTCTGTTCATGTTAAGCCAAAATAAGACTTTAAACATTATTGTTATGAATGTATGATTAGTTTGTAAAATTTGATTTGTTACAGAAATCATTATAGCCTAAAAGATATACAAGTATAGAGGAAAATGCATTAAATATACTTCATCAAAGTGCTTACATCCAGCATTCTAGAAAGGACTAGGGGAAAAAAAAAACTCTTAAAATACTCTGTAAAGGAAACTTAGATGAGTGACATAAAAAGTAGGTCACAATATTGTGCATGTCTCCTTAGTTTTCATAAAATAGAATAGTGGGTCAATCTACCAGAAAGGACAAAGACAGAACGGAGAGAGAGAATATGCTTGTGAACTAACTTATTCAAATGAGGAAGGTATTAAAGGAGTTCCAAAAATATTAATTGGGTCAATGAAAGTATTCCTTGAATTGCTGTAAAATTTGCAAGACTTCATCTGAGAAACTGATATTTTCCCTGAAGGGCTATAGTCATTTCCAGCCAATACTCTGAAGCATTTTCCAAGGCCTCGTTGGGAGGAAGTACCACCCTCTGTGTGCTCTTGGGAAGCTGGTCTGCCCATGTATTATGTAGTATGTCCAAGGCAAAGCATTACAAGCCTCAACAACATAGCCCTGTGCTTTAGGGTAAACACTGTGTCTTTATGTTGTGTCTTCCCTTTGTCTCACAGTTTTCAGTAGCTCATTCAAAAATAAATGTTTGTGTATTGATGCTGAAGGGTCAAAATTAATGCTCCCATAAGATCCAAATAAAACAACTAAATAAAACAGGTTTATTTGGTTATAATTGGAGAAAAAATTAAAAGAATGTCCAAATTGTTTCTTAACTGACACCTTTAAAAACACTGCAATTGTCAGCAAGATGACTCAGCAAGCAGAGAGAGGCGAGCAAAGGCAGACAGGAAGAAGCACGTGTGTGCAGAACCTGAACTCGAGTTATATTCCTGAATTCCACAAGGTGGCAGGAGAGAACCACTTCCAAGAGTGCCCTATGACCTCCCATGCATACTGTGGCACACATGCACCTGCCCTTTCACATGTATACACAAAAACGAATAAATAATAAAATTTGAAAGAACAATAACTTGTCCCAAAACTGGAGCTATTTTCAAATGAGTACTGTGATTATTTAAAAAATATAAATGATTAATCCTGTACTAAGACATTGTTTACACTACAAAAGAACAATAATTAAAGAACTAAGGATGGGACAAAAGAACCACCAGTGCCATAAAATGCATTGTCAAATAAACACTCCTCTAAAATTTGTCCCTAAGATTAACGTCTAAGATTGTTCAGGCAGAATAAAATCAAAGTATAAGTTTTTTAGACTAAATGTTGAAAATTATTGATTTTCTAGATTTTTTGGAAGCACATGTTTGATTATTTTGTCTTGCTTCATTTTCAGATTATATACAACCTATTTGTTTGCCAGAAGAAAATCAAGTTTTTCTTCCTGGAAGAAATTGTTTTGTTGCTGGCTGGGGAATGGTTGTAATAGAAGGTAAATTATCAGATTTGAAACCAAGAATATGTCTATTAGAAAAAGTCTTGTGGATATTTTCGATATATTTGTAACTCTTACATTATAATAATTTTTAAAAATATTACCTAAAAGTTTATATTCATGGGCTTATACTCATGTTTACACTTGTATAGTATTACCAAATATCTTCAGATTGTATAGAGCACATATCAAACTATAATATAATCCTTTCGAAATAGAATTCAATGTGCCTCCAAGCCTAATCTTTAATTTTGGTATTCTAAACACTCTGATATATTAAATATATATACCTATTGAAATGAATATAACCAAAGTTATAATTTTTGTGTTTGTGGTTAGAGATATGGCTCAGCAGTTAAGAGCACTGGCTGCTCTTGCAGAGGACCTGGGTTCAATTCCCAGCACCCACATGGTAGCTAACAGTCCATAACTCCAGTTTCAGGGGATTTGGCGCCCTTTTCTGACCTCCGCAGGCATTGCATTACTTCACTTGTATACATGCAGGCAATACACTCATATGTAAAATGAGTTTAAAATCTTAAAACATAAAATATAAATAACACATTTTAGTAAAGTGCAGAGATGAAGTCTCATCAAAAGCCAACTTATTACCTATTACATTTTTGTAATCAATAAAGCCATCTTTATTTGTAGTGCTAAGGTCTCTAAAATGAGGAAGGAATCTTTGTTATTCTTAACATCCTGATTCTCCATATTGACTATAACTCTGTTCTTATTGCTTAACTTCCTATTGCTATAACTTAGTTATAACATAAATATTATATGGAAGCTATATTATATGGAAACTATAAATTGATATCCCACTGACCTCTGTAGATTTACTTAATAGCATGTTTCCAAAAATAAATCTGAGATATACTAAATATTTTTAGCAACTTAGGTAATTGACTTGGAAATTAAAAAAAAAAAACACACATAAGCGATCACTTTAAACTGAATACAAATAGCCATTACAAAGAGACAAAGATAAGTGCTGATGAGTATGTAAAGAAAAAGGAATGCAAATTAGCATAGCCATTGGGGAAATGTTTCCCAAAATTTAAAAATGGAGCTACCATATGATCTAAAGGCATCACTGCAGCATGCTGAGACATCTGCACAGCCATGGTCTTTGTAGCACTATACTTAACAGCCTAAAAGAGACAGAAACAATTTCTGTCTATCACTGATGAATAGATAAGAAAATATAGCAGTTGGGCATAGTGGTATTGTGGGTCCCATCAAATGGAAAGCTAATGTAGGGAACTGGGAGTTTGGGGCTAGCCTTGACTACATAGTGAGACCCTGACTTGAAAAGAAATCAAAACAAAGGAAAAAGAAAATGTAGTATATGTTTGCAACAGAACACTATTCAGAAAAAAACAAATAAAGCCTTGTTATTAGTGGCAGTATTGTTGAAAATGGAGATCATTTCAGTGAAATAAACCAGACAGAACAAAACAAATAACAACTCTCTCACTTACCTGGGAACATTAAAGTTTTTTGTTTATTTTTATTTTATGTGTATGCATATATTGCCTGCATGTATGTAAGTGCACCCGTGTCATGCAATCCCCATGGAGGATGGAAGAAGGCATGGGATCCCCTGGAACTGGAGTTACAGGCAGTTGTTAGCTGTTATGTGGGTGCTGGTATTCGGACCTAGGTCTTCTTCAAGGACAACCAGTGCTCTAATGCACTGAACCATCTCTCCATCCCGACTTGGGGAGATTTAGAAGGCAGAAGTCATAGAAGCTGAGAGTAGACAGTGGTTACCAAAGGCCAAGGAGTGTGGGATGTGAGGTAAGATTAATCAACGCACACTAAGCTGTAATTACACAAGAGCAAGAAGTTTGCTGTGTATTCCTACACAGTGGGAGAATTATTACAGAAAGCAAGAAAGTGCTGTACATTTCAAAAGACTAGAAGAAAGGACTCTGAAGGTTTTTATCTTAAAGAAATGATAAATTCTTGAGGAGACATGTGTGTGTGTGTGTCTGTGTGTGTGTGTGTGTGTGTGTGTGTGTGTGT